CAGATATCATACAGAGGGGGGCAGATATCATACAGAGCAGGGCAGAACAGAGCAGATAGCCAGCTAGAGCAGCAAAGACCTTTGAGAGGTCATAGAGCTGAGACATGGAAAGAGGCAGAAGTTTAAATAGGTTTTACCTTTTCAAGGGATTTAATTCCCTCCCACATGTCTTACTGTGTTAAAGTCCAAGAAATCATATTTATGGGCGCATACTTCTAGATGGCATCTAGAAAATTCTTATTGAATAAATACTTCATTTTAGGGCAGGGTAAAACTAAGGTCTTGGCCGAGAGTTATTTCCTGCTTTAACTAGTGATTGCAACGGAGAAGTGAGCTCTGTTTACCAAGGTTTGCAGATAACAAGACAGAGTTTGGCAGAATCATAGCTCAACGCCAGGAGTCTGGGCTTTGAGAAGAAAGAACTCCATGAATTCTAACTCTGCTACTCATAGTTTTATGGGAATGTGTGCATTTTTCAGCTATGGAACACAAAACAGAGCAAAACCAAACCGAACAAGATAACAGTGACTATTTCTTGTGGTGGTTGCAAGAATGAAATAACTGTTATTTCTGTATCTGTGAGCTCTTTGAAAAAGGTGCTGGACACTGGCTGGGAATTGCAAGGACAAGAAGGATGGGTCCCAGATCGTTACTGCTCCATAGGAGTTTAGCGAAGGGAAACAAGAAGTACGTAAAAAATTATGGTAAGTCCTTGGTGAGAATAACACAGTCAAATATTATGGAGGTCACACAGCCGGAAAGGCTCATATTTTCTGGAAAACTAAGGAAAGGCTTCATAGAGAAAGCAGCATTTGAGATAAACGCTCAGTAGGTGGTTGGATTTGACAGATGGAAATGAAGTGGAGAGCAGTGGAGGTCCAGGCAAGAGCAGAGGGACTGGGTAGGAGGGGAAAATGTAGGGCAGTTCAGTTTGGCTGGCCAGACAGGAAGCAAAAGCACATCTGACTGGAAAGACTTGCTAGGCCTATCTTGTGGAATATCTTTATTCCAGAAGATTTCTTTTGCATTAGGGCAGGGAGTCACAAGATCAGAAATCATGTTTTACATCTTTGATGAGACACCAAAAAAATCAAGTACAATTGAAGGGAGTGCATTTGATCCTCCTCATTCATGGATCCTGTATTTGTAAATTTGCCTACTTGCTAAAATTTGGTTGTGACCCCCAAATCAATCCTTGTGGGCGGTCATTTGCAGATGTGGGTAGAGTGGTGAAAAATTTGAGTCACGCAACACACACACCCAGCCACAGTCAAGCAAGATAGCACTCTGCCTTCTTGTTTTGGCTCTCGTACTGTAAACACATACCTTTGGAGGAGTCTCAGATCCTGGATACTCTCTCTGGTCTAGTTTCTTCCAACGATCCATTAGTTTGGTCACCATAGGTGTGTTAAAATCGACCAACTGGAATCCTGTAACATTGGCTCCACCATGTACAAATCTCTCAAGAGAAATATCCTTGAATCCCTATGGAAATCAGTATGGCAGTTTGCTAAGTTTAGTTCATTAGACATTTCAGCTCTTCAATGGTAACATAAGTTAATAACAAACATGGATATCTATCTAGATTTCTGATAAAGCAATGGCTGGAAACAGTGGAGGGTTCAATTATGCCTAATTTAGCTGTTAAATTCTGTCATTCCAAATCTAATACATGAGAAAAGGATAAAAATATTTTCAGTCCAGCTCAATTTAACAAGTATTTCTTGAATGCCTCTGAATGCCTTTTATGAAGCATGGATCTCACACAGATATGTAGAAATGTGTCTTATGTGAAGGGAATATCAAGGTATTATGACACATTGAGTCTGTGATGGGTAGCACCTGTTTAGGGGGGTTCAGTTTAATTACAAAGTGGTCTGAAAGCAGACGGAGCCAATAATTTGAGCCAGAGAGGGTAAAAGCTTTGATTCTATGAGTCACTACAATCCTCAAAGTCCTGGGACATGGTAGCGGAAGAGAAGAGAGCAAGACAGGACATTTATGGACTTCTGTGTGCTGGGAAACAAGATGGTGCTCACCAGGTGGGCTGAGGGAAGAGTGTTCTCGCTCCGTCCACAGGTGAATTCCAAAAATTTTGTAAAGTTGTTTACTTTCCTCTTCCTATCTATCAATTTTTTTATACCTGGCCTTTTTTCCTGCTAAGTATTTAAGGTGCTTTACAAAAACAAACACTCAATACAAGTGTAAAACAAATGGGCAATTAGAAGAAGAGGGGGAAAAAACCTATTAGGTAAGTGAATTAATAAAACCAAAGGTATCAGCTCAGAGAAAAGTAACTCCCCCAACATAAACACATGTGCGCACGTGAGTTTCTAGCATCTGTATTTTTTTTTTGGTTTTCTCTTAGTATTTAGTGAAGTGTTTTTTTTTAAATTTTAAATATATATATTTTTATCTGTTTTAAAGATTTTATTTATTTATTTGAGAGACAGAGAACAAGCAGGGTGGGGGCAGACTCCCGTAGAGCAAGGAGCCCAATGATGAGGGGCTCGATCCCAGGACCCAGAATCATGACCTGAGCCGAAGGCAGACGCTTCACCAACTGAGCCACCCAGGCGACCCAAGTTTTTTGTTTTGTTTTGTTTTTGTTTTTATGTGAATTTGATTCAATTGTGTGAGTGAACTAAGGGAAAGTGTTTTTTCTATTTTTTGGCTAAAATAAACTCCGCAGCACTGACCCCGCAGTTAGCATGGGAATCGGCGCAACAATCAGGGAGAAGACCAGGGCCTGGGGTTGCCTCTGCCATAATGTGTCTCAGCCTCGGTTTCGGAAACTTCTGTTTTTCGTTATAACAAGCAGGCTATATATGCACACTGCTGTTTGGCTATCTAAGAAGAAACAGACCAGTCTACTGACAACGAAGCGAGGTTGCTCTGGAGAGCCCCAGGAGTGTGTATTTATAGCTAATACTGATGGTGGGCTTCTGTGCTGGGCATTGTGCTGAGCACTTGACACAGATGATCTAGTTTGGTTCTCCTAACAAGATGAGATACATCCTATTATTAGACTTATTTTACAAATAAGGAAACCAAGGCTCAGTAGATTAAAGAAAAACTACTGAAGATCATATAGCAAATACACAGGAGAACCAAGATGATTCTTGCACTGGCCTTTTCCGCCCTAGGCTCCCGTGGATTCTTACCCAAGGTAAGAGGAGAGAGGGGTATACTGTCGAAAACTGTCCACATCCTGAATCCACCTCTGTAACTTACTGGCCGTGGGTTTCCCATGTGCAAAATGAGAATAACAATGCTAAAGTCACTAGCACATCTGGTTTGAATTCAGTAAATGATAGCTGTTATTAATTAATTCCCTCAACAAATATTTATCCCCTGCCTATTATGTGCCAGCTAATTTGACAGCTCATCAGTAACACTCTCGTTTCACTGGGAGAGAAACTAGACACCAGAAAGCAAATCCATGTTTTTGAAATGGGAAAAGCACTGTCCATCAATCTCTAGCTAGTAAAATGTCAGCCGACATTTGTTTGCTTCGAAGAGAAGAGAGGGCAGACCCACGGGCAGGCAAAAAATATTCGTTTTCTAAAAGCCACAGCGATTCAACTATTGCATTAGTTGCTAACTGATGACATTATTAGTTCTTTCAGCACGGCTGAAACAGAAGACCGGCCACGCTTCCTTGCACAGCCTCTCCCACAGCTGCCAGACACACAGGCAAAGCTGCAGCCTTCAGAAGAACCCTCGGATGTCAAATCTCACTGATAAATAACAGTACACATTTCTCTGATTCCATCCGGATATGCTGAAGGAGAAGGAAAAAATACCACATCGGATTTTAAAGTTCTTTCAGTTCTGACCTGAATGAGTGGTGGGTGGCTCCGTTAATTTTAGCTATGTCTGTCTGAGTACAGGCAATATTTTTCCTTTCATACACTTTAAAATAGTTTTATATAGAAAAGTGATAGGATCTAGGCTATGAAGTCGTTTTCTTGGAAACAGTTACCTTGGTGCCTATTGAGACTTCAGTTTTTACCCAGAGAGTATTGTGGAAGGAAGGTTCTAGGAGACACTGTTGTAAAATTGTAACTCTACAGAGTGTGTGTGTGTGTGTGTGTGTGTGTGTGTGTGTGTGTGAAATCAGTGGTTAGTAACTAAGTAAACAGTATATATAGTCTCTCTATATAATCTACTGACATCCTAAGGAAAGATTAACTTTCAACTTGGTTTTCCTTTTAATTTCCACTGACAGTTCATATATCCTCTGGGGGTAAAGAAGCAAAAGGATAATAATAAATGGCAGGACTTTGGATATCCCGCTGACTATTGATGTAAATCTGTAAATCCATCACATCACAGGTGCTTAATAAATGCTCATCCTTTAGGGTGTGACCAATTCTGATTATATTTCTGCTGTTTTGCATTTCAGGCTCAAAGGACAATGAAATCATATTGAGACAGCTCTTGTATGGTTAACAGAAGCGCTGCCAAGTAGAATGGGAGAGGTTTCCTTTTAACATCTTTTAAAAACCAGGTTGTTAAGAAATTGACTTAAAGTATGCATTTTTGGTAACCAAGTATGTAGATGGTGGAATCAGACGTGCTCAATGCAGAAAAGTTAAAAATACAGTAAGCACAAAGAAAAAGGTAAAAAAAAAAGTCTTCACATTCATGGAATCTTGAGTGGGGTCATTGCCTGTGAGTAAAAATGTGCTAGTCTGCAAATATGGGGAACTGAGTTCTAGGCCCCATTCTGACATCAACCAGATGCCTACATGTGGACAAATCACTTTACTTTCTGTATCTTAACTTCCTTACCTTCCAAACGAGGCATGGATGGTGTGTGCATGTCTGTGTGTTTGTGTGTGGTGAGGTCAGGGACAGGTAAGCAAGAGCTGTGGTTAATCTTTAATGATATACCCTGATCGTTCCGTAATTTTATACTACTTCAAGAAAGAGCCAGGTGTTTTCCTAAATGTAAATGGAATATATTTTAAAAAATTAGACATCTAAATGAGACCAAGATTTTAAGAATTTGCCTTGCAGGTGCAACAATGTCAACAGCTTCTTGTTGCTCCTGGTGGCCGTATTTAACTACTCTGACTGCTGGAGGAGGGCAGAAGGAAGCTGTGAATACAAATACAGAGATTGTCTGTAAGGCCAGATCCCCCTCAGGGGTGGTATAAGTAATATCTAAATGAATGCTCACTTTGTGGCTACATCAGGTATTTACTAATTTTATTTATTTGATTTATTTATTCTTTGCAATCAGACAGGACAGAGTTTCAATCTTGCTTTTGAGACTCAGGATCTGTGTGATCTTGGGCGAATTACACTGAACCCCCATTTTGCAGTCTATAGAATAAGCATCTATGTTGAGGGCTAATTAGAACAATTATAGCAACAAACTAAACACAATGACAGAAGCTGGATGCTGGAGGATAGGCAGCCCTTTAACAAAGAGGGAGGGTAAGGGTACTTTTTAGAAGGTCAAATAAGACATTGTTTCTTCCTCTGATGAGCTCGCAGTGTGCTTGAAGTATCTTATTTGCAGCTGAGTGACAGATGGTGGACAATACTTGGTACAGAGGAGGGGTAAAATAATGAGCTCATGGATGAAAAAAAATAACTGCATTCTATATTACTGGTACCTGGGGTGACTTGTGAGCCCTGAAGAGGCACTATCAGATTCAGTACATAAGGACAGCTTTCTGGAAGAAGTGACTGTTTATCAAGATTGGGTGGACTCAGAATTGCCTCCCAGGGAGACAAAGCTAAAGCTGCGAAGATAAAAGAGGTATCAGGTATCTGGGAACTGTCTGGTTTTGGGAAGGGGCACATGTAGGGTGGAGCGGGAGAGAGGATCTGGGGTTAGGAGGGATAAAACTGGAAGGATTTTGTGCCTTAGGGACAAGAGTGTCAATGCTCCACCCTTAAGGATGTGGGCAGTGTGGTGCCTAGGTTTGGTAGGACATGGTAACAAATGGGCTGTGTGTCCTTTTGAGAACTGCAGGAAGTTTTATGGAGAGGTGAGATGACAGGCATTAGCAGGGAGGGCTGGAGAGATCTCAGGGTCTTTCCCTTTCACAAAGCCCCGGAATCCTTTTACTGCATTTGCAGCCTAGAGCCAAAGAAATACTTTAAGCTGGGAAATGATATGATCATACTTGTCTTAAACAACAACAGCAACAACAAAAAATCCGGGAGCAAAGTAAACAAAGAACTGGAAATGAGAAAGTCGATGGGCAAAGTAGGGAAGCATTTTTCTTACTTAAATCTCTGAAAAACAGACTATAGTCAACCAACAGATAAAGTTTTCCTGCTTCTAAGTATCTTGGAAATTTCTAGAACAGAGTTTAATCTAATGAGATACAATTAGACGACAGGTGTGTCTAAGTAAAACATTCCCACATACAAACCAAAAACAAGACAGAGGGAAGAAAGATTTTAGCAATCTTTCCTTTCTTACAAATTTTACTCATCCTTAATGTGCCGAATGACAGCAG